GATTCATCTGATTCAGTCAATTTCAGTGTTACCAAACGGATTCTAAATAACACCTATTTATATATAGGAAAGGAGTATGTAGTTTTATAAAAATAGACGTTTACCCTCTAAAAAGATCTATGTGTCTTTCCCCCCTGTCCGTATTATTAGAAAATACTTCCTTTGTTCCTAAATAAATGCAACGCTCAACATTTCACACTTGCCGAGACACAACTTTGATCATTAATATAAATGATTTTGTATTAGTAAAAACATTAAAAAAAAATTAGATTATGAAAATTTACAATGAGACAAGTTTAACACTATTTTTTCCAAAAAATAATATTATTACATTAATAAATAAAATTAGTCAAAGTAGAACATGTGAATAGTGTAAAAGTCAAAGTGTTGCATTTATTTAAGAACGGAGGTAGTAAATTAGAAAACATGTCATCCATTCATAGGTCTCATTATATAAAGATATGGTTTTCTTCAAATTGTTCTCCATAGATCACTAAATTCAGTCAATCCATCAAGAACGCCATCAATTTTGATAGACACCAAATTGTATTATAAAAATAAAAAATGATTTAGTGCTTTAAAAAAACTTCTATTTTACAGTGTTATAACTATTTTATTTATACTTCGATTGTTAAAAAAATATATCAGAATTCATAACTTTTTACGGAGATTATTTTTCAAATGACACCAATATTGGATATATATATATATATATATATATATATATATATATATATATATATATATATATATAAACTATTCATTTTTGCAGTTAAGATAAATTTTTCGTGCACACCACTAGTCCAGAGTGATAGTTTAGAGTAAAACTGCAAAAATTGTAGCGCAAAGAATAAAATAATAAATAAAAGTGATGGAATTTGTTCAGTTTTATTCTAAGCTATCGCTCCATGTTAATAGTGTGCACAGTAAAGAAAGATCATAAACTGCACACATTTATTTATATATGAAAAATTGGTATAATGTGAAAGGTAATAAAAATGTATACTTTTGATATTTTTTATAATAATCGAAGTACAATAATAAAGTTACTAACACTTCAAAAAACAAATGTTTTTTTGAAGGGCTAAATTATTTTGTAAATTGTGATATATTTTGTGTAACAATCGGAGTACAAATTATTTTTGTGAATTGTGATATATTTTTTGTATCAATCAGAGTACAAATTAAAAAGTTATACCACTACTTTTAAAAACTAACTAGATTTTCACCCGTGCGATGCACGGAACAAAATATAATCAAATTATGTCATTTTTTTATTAATGTAATATTTTCCGAGATTGATAAAATTATAATTTATAAGAGTGAAAAGATCCCTAAAAAGAGTAAAAAGATAACATAGCTATATAATAATATGTTATATACTATGCATTAAATAGCTTAGAAGATTTAGCAAGTGTTAATGTTTACAATATTCCAAGAGGACACAAAATGTAAACATTACAATGAAGGAAAAAAAGAACAATTTTTGAAACACTTCTTTATAACCAACATTAGTAGTATGATCAATTTATCCATGTGTAAATATTGACTTTTTAGTTGTAGGTCAACATGCAACAAAGATTGACATTGATTTTTTTGTTTGTAACACTCCATATGAAGCAATAAGTGTTCTCGAGATTGACATGATTGGGATTGTTTTCTTTGATACTTGATTAGTATTCTCGCTTCGGAAAGAGTAAGTGTTAACTATGGAATAACTACGCTTTGACGATTGCAATTCGCACCTTCCCCTTTCCGCATTCCAGCTCGCGACTCAGACCTCGTGGCCCAGAAGTGCAGCAGTAACCAACGAAGCCCACCAAATCCTAAGATCCAACCACGTCCAAGCAAGCTAGGTTAGGCTAGGTTCTCGGGTCAGCCCAGTAAACTCCAGAGTCCAGATCAACGTTCATAACCTTCAACACTGCATCAACCTCCCAGCGTGTAGGTGACGTCAACAGCAGTCTCATCCAAGCCCCCGACCCCATAAGGACGTCGACACCCCGACGGCAACGACATGGCGGCTATGGAGAACAAAATAAGAGAGCCTGCAATTAAAACCTCACCTTCTCTGCAGCACCCACCTGATCCTCGGCGTCCACCAGGTGCATCGGTGGCCAGCGAAGAGAATAATGAAAACAACCGGACAGAAAATGCCAAAACTACCGCAGACGGCGACAGTGGCCAATCGTGCAACTCTCACTTTCAATTGTTTGCAATGTGGATTGTGTTGTTGTGGTAGATAGTTGATACTCCGTAGTAGATGAAATTGGACGGTATATATACTGCAATTTGGAAGCACTCTGATTATGCATAACAAATTGCCCAAAGGATAATACGGAGTAAGATGCATTGCTTTGAATTATGATGACATGAAATCTGAAAAGACAACACCTTACAGACCTGATACTTGTATTAGACATACGTGTAATACAGAGTATCTGATTTTAATAATGCTCATGAAGACAACTCAATTCCGGTCAAATTAAACAAAGTCTAACACCTTTGTTGCAACCCAGTACTTTACGGCCTTACACACTGAACATTAATTTCAATCAAATTTGCTCTTTGTACCCACCCATTGTACCCACCATATACACACTACAAATACCCAAAAAAATTACCCCCCTCTTTTCCCCTCCTCCCCTTTTCCCCTCACCTCACCCGCATAACTCACTTGCTCTCCCCCTTTCTTGAAAATCAAAACACCCGCCGACCACGACCACTTCCCCATACTTCTCTCCCACATCCCCACGACCACTCTGCCTTAGAGGTGATAATTGGCATCCCCGCGACCACTCTCCTCTTCGAAGCCGTTCTTCATCTGTGCCGGTTCGAAGCCGTTGTCGAAGTGTGGGCGAGGAAGAGGGTTAAGAAGCGACGAGCCCCCTTATTTTCTTCAACTTTAAGACGACGATGCACACCACTGGAGATGGCGGACCGGTATGTATCATTTCCCAACCTTTGTTTGTTTTTAGGGTAATTTGTTTTGAATTTATTGGATTTCTTGGGTTTTTAGCAATGTTCAAAAATGGTTCTGTGGGTATGTGAAGTATGTGACACACAACAATGGTTTATTTTTCGTTTTAAGACTGTGAATATGTGAAGTATTTGCTGTGAATCAACATTTATATATGAATTGGTATGCTTCCTTTGGTGTGAATCAAAATTTCTGGTTTTATTTCTGGTTTTCAGACTGTTGATGTTCATAAGGTGTGTGTGTGGTGTGTGTGTAATGGTGAAATTTTCATTGGGTGTTAATTGTTGTATGTGCAAGAAATTGTCTAATTACTTTGTTCATGTTTATAAGTTGTCTGTGTGGTTGTTTCCTAATGATTTGGTGTAATTAGTGTCTGTGCATGATATAGGTGCCTGTGTGGTGGTGTGAAGTTCATTTGGAGTGTTATTTATTGTCTGTGAATCAAATTGTGTGTATTATATAGTCTAGTTCCTTTGTAAATGTTTAGAAGTTGTCTGTGTGTTTTATTGTCTATGAATCAAATTAGGAGTGTTCTTTATTGTTTTTTTTGTAAAGTTTTGGTCTATGAAGGTCTGTTTTTGTCTGTTTGCCATAAGTTTATTTATGTTTGTCCAATTGCCAGGGCCCTGAAGCTACACATTCCAAGTCATGACTATTCCCCGCGCATTATTCCGTATGTCCAGCCTTCAGAATTGCAGCAAAGTGGGTACAAAACAGATTATCTCCAACACAAAAGGAAAGGTTTCGCGAATTACCATGGGACCATCTAATTGACATCCCAGAAACAGACAACTCTGGCCAAATCTTGCACATGCTGGCCTTACACCTTGTGCAGGAGCAACCGGATAATGAGATGTGGTTTGGCATTGGGGGTAAACTGTATAAGTTCACTTATGCGGATTTTTGCTACATAAGTGGATTACCAATACATGACGAAGCCGAACTTGTTGAATCAGAAGCGCCCGCGACTGAGGATGAAGATTGTGGAGATGATTCTGGAGATGATTCTGGACAAGAATTTGACCAAGAAGATGAACCAGTAGGGGCCATTGCTGAGAAGTATTTAGGTGGCAAAGTTAACATTACCCATGCCAATATGAAGAATATCTTTAAGAAGCAGAAGCCATCCAAACGTGGTGATGATGCTGTGAAGTTGGCCTCGTTATTCTATATTGAGTATGTATTGCTTGCAAAGGACAACCCTACGAGGATAAATGAATCATCAGTCAGATTGGTCAACGATTTAGAGGCATTCAGGAAGTGTTCGTGGTCACTTCAATCTTACAAGATATTTGTGAAACACATGAAGGACCTGATGCAAGACCAACCTGATAACTTCAAGGAGCGGAAGAAGAACAATCCTGAGTATAAGAATGCAAAGTTCTCTGTTTACGGGTTTCCACTAGTTTTGCAGGTATATATGACAACTTCCCCATTGTACTTACTGTTTACGTGTGTGTGTGTGTGTGTATAACTGTTAAATTTGAACTATTTGAATTTATAGTTTTTGAATAACTATGGATATTAATTCACTAACAATGTGTTCAATTAACGATGAATAAATGTATTTCGTGTTCATTCTTATTTCTATAGGTGTGGGCTTATGAAGAAATTCCTGAAGTTGGTAACAACTTTGCAAACAAAGTGGCTAATCATGAGGTGCCTTTTCTGATTTGGACTGTTGTACGCAAATTTCATTACTCAAAGCTTAGACGACTGGTCTTTCCAGAGGTATGTGTGTCTCATTCATTATCTTAATGTCAAATAGCCTTTATTTTACTATTTTTTTCCTAGGAGGAGGAGAAGGTTTCTGATTCAGAGGAGGACAAGGTTGATGATTCAGAGGAGGGAGAGGAAGAAGATGAAAGAATCCGGGAAGACGTTCAAATTTTTCAAAAACTAAAAATATTGGAACAGATGCAGCACCTACGGCTATGTGTGGAAAGGGTGGAAAAGAATATTACTACCGTTGAAGAAAGTATTTCAGAAATTAAGCTACTACTTAAGAAGCCGATTGGCAATCAGAACCCATCTGTTGAGCAAGAGGTGATCTGTAACTTACTTGTTTGTCTCATTTGCGGGCCATTTTCATTAACTAAGGGACTAACACTATCAACCATCTATATTGTAGGTTGATAATAATGATGTGGTAGTTCAGGATGATGCTGCGTTTGAGGTCGAGGCTGAGAATATAGTGCAACATACTGCCAGCGAAGATGCTGGTGGTATACATGATGCTGCCTGTGAGGGTGAGGGAAAGGGTGCCGCTGCAGATGTTCCTATGAAGACCACGAGTGTAAGTGAAGAAACTGCAATTGCAGATGGTGATGGGGTGGCACATAGGCAGATTTCTCCGACAGCAGATGTAACCGCTAATGAAGATTGTGTTGAAGCGGAAGGTGGGGACGTTAGCAACCCCTTAAACAATGAAGGTTGCAAATAGGCATATTTCATCATCTCAACTGTGGTGACTGAGGTATGGTTGTTGATGTATCATTGTTTTTTTTGTGCAAAATGAGAAATGAACTACTTATTTATTTGATAGGTGAATTGGGAAATTGAACAGAATAAGGAAGACAGCAACTTCCCAGATATTATGATGTGTTTAAATGAGGTAAAGATGTGTTTTTGAGTTTGTATTATCCGTGTATTAATCTCAATGTTGGTGTGCATATTAGTGTTCATTCCAATGACATGAGAAATAAATGCATTTGAAGTTATAGTTTGTAAACTAAGATTGTCTGTGATGCATTTTAAGTTATGGTTTGGATATCCCTGTGTAATAGGAGTCTGAGCAGGTGGAGGAGGAGGTGTTAGCTCCGTTAACAACGCCCGGTCCATTTGAAAATTTGGATTGGGATGGAGGCGATGTTGGGAGTGCACCACTTGATGATGAGGCTTCTGGAGTTGTTAGCACGAAACATCGACGATAACATGTAAGTATATTAGAAACCGTCAAAGAATTTATCTGTACAGCAAAAAAATATGAGCAAAAATGTAGGCTATCCAAATATTGGATAATCCATCACCTGCCAAAATAAGCGAGCCATAGTAGCCCCCCTATACTACCTCACAGCCAATCACAAAACAGAGAAGGTGAAGGGCATACAATTATCAGAGTACTACCAAATCACAAGGATAAATGCTATACAAAATTTTATAGACAACATATTTTATCCTAGCAAAAACTTCCTCCTCTTTAGGCAAAAAACCATCGAATCTAGCTGCATTCCTGACTCTCCAAATCCAGTAAATGGTGCAGGAGAAAGCAATCCTAGCAGCCTTGGCTTGCACATTAGCTCCGCTCCTTTCCTTCTTGATTCATTTGACCGAACTAGCTAGGGTCCCCATCATCCGTGGAATGCCAATCCATGTTTTCATCATAGTCCAGACCTTACCTGAAAAAGGGCATTCAAAGTATAGGTGTGGAGCCTTTTCCGGTCCACCCTTGCACAATACACAAGTATTATCCACATCTAATCTATGAAGATTATCACACGTGGCTAACCTATTAGCACGAAACATCGACATAAGAGGAGACGGTGTCGTGCAAACTACAAATGCTCACCATACGTTGAGCCAATTGTCTGTATTGAACTTGCTCTGTTTCAACCAAGCGATGACGATATTGCATCTCTCAAGGCTTGGATTGAAGAACCTGATAATGTTGAACCCAAGACTGTTGTTCTAAATCTCCCATCATTTGATGAAGTGGAGAGGGAGTTTTTCCGTGAACTTGTTCAACCAGATGAGACTATATGGTCCTATGTGAGTGCCTTATCTTATTCATATCTATCTTATTCAAGCGATTCAATATATGTCTCACGCTCTTTTTTCTTAGCATATGGATGCTCTATCGTGCCTGCTTCTAACAGATTGTAAGCCGGACAAGCCGTATAAGCGTATAAACCCTTACTTTACGGTATGTCTTGTTTATCACTTTATCTTTACCAAACCTACATAATTTTTTTTTCTATTTCACCTCATTACAAGTTTTGTTCGTGCAGCATCAACTGTTGAGTACGGATGTTAAGGATGAGAGCGTCTAGACTGCTGATAAATATCTACCAGCTGTGGACTGGAGAGGTTTGGAAAAGGTAACTGGTTAAACTGTTGTATTTAATTGTTTGTGTATTTAAATTATATTTGAAAGGCAAAACAAAAAGTGCTTAAGTAATTTTGTTGTTATTGTGTTAAGGTTTTCCTACCTCTGAATGTTGTTGGGATGCATTGGGTTTTAGCGGAAGTTGACCTACAAGAAAAATTGGTGCGTGTATATGACTCTATGAGAACGAGTAGGTCAAGGTTGCATGCGAATGATCTGTGTATGAGACTTCCGCTCCTCTTCCGAGTCATACAAGCCCACCCAGACCTGCGAAAGGTACATCAGTGGAAAGCTAAGGCAATTGCAGATGTTCCGCAACAGGAGGGAGAGTAATTGCAATCTGTTAATATTTTAATTGTTTATGTGTGGTGTAGAATTATGTCTATGATCACTTAATACTTGTTTGTTATGTCTGTGTGGCAGAACTATTTGCGGACTCATGGTTGTTTCTTATGTGGAAGCTTTGATGTTGGGACTACCGCTGATGCCACATTGCGAGTATGCGAACGTGGCAAGAAAGAGATGGCACTACGCACTTCGGCTTTGGACTTTGAGGCAGATAGTTTCTTAGACATATGTGGATGTCTATTTTTTTTGCTAATGTGTATACATAACTTTCATGGTTCCCATGTAACAAACATTAGTTTGCTGGTTTTGTGTTTTTGTAACCTTTTGGAATGGAATGTATGATAATGTACATTGTTGTGGCGATTGTGCTGTAATCAACGTTGTACAATGTCCTACAAGGTTATTCCCCAAGAGGGTTCATATGAAGCATGTAACAAAATTTGTATGATGGGTTTTGTGTTATTTATAACAATTTGAAATGTTATGTATCATAATGTTCTGTTTTTATAAATACATGTGTCTGTGAGTATATAATATATTGTCTGCCATTGGAAATGAGTTTGTCTGTGAGTATATTTTACTTTTTTTTTTTCAATTATAACGTTTATTATGTTACTATTTTTTCCAATTATAACTTTTGTTCATTACAACTTTTTACTTTAATAAATGATGTAATGTTTAATAAATTAACAATCAAAATTTATAAAGTTGTAGAATTAAAGCTTATAGTTCATAACAAATAATGTTCATATAGGTACTTGTTCATCCATCCTATGTGTTTTGTTAGTTTAAATGATGAGTAAGATTTAATTGTAATATTAAAACTTGTAATTACACTTCAAATTTTACAAGTTGTAATATTTAACTATAACTATATGGGATATAATATGAAGAGGGCTCTTCTCATCAGGCCGGCCTGACGGGCTGCCCCGTCCGGCCGAGCCCGTTTGGGCACCTTCCCGGTGGAATTTTTTGATGAAATTTTTTGAGCATGTTCCTCATCAAGTCTTGTTTGTCCATACCAAATTTCAGCTCAAAATTCGATCGGGAAGGTCGTCAAATGATTTTTGCAAGTTAACTGGTCCAGAATATGTATTTTCCGGACCAGTTAACTTGCAAAAATCATTTGACAACCTTCCCGATCGAATTTTGAGCTGAAATTTGGTATGGACAAACTAGACTTGATGAGGAACATGCTCAAAAAATTTCATCAAAAAATTCCACCGGGAAGGTGCCCAAACGGGCTCGGCCGGACGGGGCAGCCCGTCAGGCCGGCCTGATGAGAAGAGCTCTCTAATATGAACTATCACATGAATATGCACTTTAATTAAATATTTTCTTGTTTACAAGTTACAACCGTATGTTTATGAATATATTGTTTGGACCTTGTATTGAAGTCCTCTCTCCCCCTCCAAATTATTGTGTCTATGAGTAAAAATTCTTGTTTGTGACAGAACACCGATCTGACTGTGAGGACATAGTATTGTCTATGACTAAAAACAATGTCAGTGATGATTCAACAAAAAAAACAGTACATCATAGTACATATATTCACATCAAAGATAGATTTAAATCTACACCAGTACAGTACAAGTACAGGAGTGGCCCATTAGCTGCAGCATTGCTAGGGCCTTCACCATTACCATGTTGGATTGTTGTGGTTGTGGCTGGTGCATTATCCTTCTTAGACCTTCCTTTCTTCTTCCCCTTTTCTAGTGGACCCTTCGCCCTGTTTTTCCTTGGAGCTCCCTTGCGCTTCGTACATTTTGGATCTCCAATAGGTGGAAGTGGGACCTCGGCACAAATAGTTGTTGTTGGGTCTTCAAGTGGTGTCATGTTGCCAACAACAGAAGAATGGCTAACTGGAGGAGTATATGTGGTCAACTGGGTTTCCAACCAAAGGAGGACTTCATTGTATTTCTCCTCATCATCCACAATCATGTTGGCAACAGACTCAAATGTCTTACATAACTTGTCAAAGCGTTGTTGTTCAATCGTTGTAATCCACCCGTCGTAATTGATTTTGACTCGTTGGTACGCTCTTTTCATGTCTTTCCTCTATCTGCTCATTAGGTACACCTCGGGCAAGTGGTGAATATCAAGCCGATTAAAGACCACAAGCAAGTGTCTACATATCATTCCCCTAAACTCAAACAAATGACAACTACATATTCCAAAACAAGTAATTGGGTCAAAGTCAATATAGAAGTTCACATTCTTCTTAAATCCATTAATATCCATATGCTCTTGCACTGTGTATTTTCTACCGTCTTCACATAAAAGGATATCACAATAAGGCTTTTCTTCAAATAATTCCCTTTGAAACTCCGCAAACTTAGAAAGGGTATAAATTTGTTGCACTTGTTTTTCCATTGGATATCTAGTCACACATGGAATCAGATTGGTAAATGAGTTAATATCCGCTTGAAATTCTTTTTCCACCTTATCACGCAAAGCACATCTCTATTGTTCAACAAATTGTTTTAGAGTGGTTTTGGAATTGACAAACTTATCGAAAAAAGCGTTGATGCTCTCACTTCTTTGAGTTGTGGACATGCCGGCCCAAAATGTTGGCTTTAAATAACATGGTACCCGCCGCTTTCTTTCATTGTACATCACTCCAAGCCAATCATGCTCTTCAAGTGAAAACCTGAACACATTTAAACTGCACAAAGTCAGTTTGTAAATAAATGACAAAGAACTTATTCTCTGCCAACAAACATATTGTGTCCGTGAAGTATAAACTATATTGTCTATGACAGACACACCTGTCTATGAGGCACAGAAAAAGTTACTGCCAGAACAAGAAATAAAGCTTACAAATTCATACCTTTGAATCATGTGAAGCCATTTTTCCTCAAACTCTTGCATGTAGTGTGAATCATAAATGGAGTCATGCATAACATCCAATATTTCATCTTTTTGTGCATTCCCTCCGAGTTTTTCGGGTACCATTTTCATTATGTGCCATAAACACCATCGGTGTTTCAAATTTGGGAAAACAATTGCAATGGC